ACTCAACATAATAAGTGATCATACATAGTCGTATTTTCAATTGATTGATTCGCGGAATTAACAAGTTAAAATAACTCAATGAATTTTTCAATATCAAAGTTTCACATTTTCAATCTGTTGAAATGATTTTTAATCTGCTGAAACAGAAAGACTATTTTTTCAGTCTAAGAGTTTTTCGTAAAATCAATCTGTTGAAATGATTTTTAATCTGCTGAAACGAAAGACTATTTTTTTCAGCCTAAGAGTTTTTCGAAAAATCAATCTGCTGAAATAATTTTTAATCTGCTAAAACAGAGAGGCTATTTTTTAACTAAGTGTTTGCAGGATTTCAATCTGTTGAAATGATTTTCAATCGATTAAAACAGAGAGCTATCATTTTTTCTAAAGTCGTTTCAATCCATTGAAAACTCCAAACAATCGATTGAATGAACTTTTAAATGAAATCAATCGATTGAATCGTGGTTTCAATCGATTGAAATGTAATCTGATCGATCATAGTTTCATTCTGATCGATCATAACTCTGTCTGATCGATCATACTTCAGCTTCTAATCGATCGAGTCTCTTCTAAACTGTTATACTTCAAACTAATCGATCTTGTGACTCTCTGAAATAGTTTTTGACAGATGAAACGTTCTGATTCTATGTTTTACTCTATATATACAGAATTGATCTATCTTTTGAAACACAACACAACACACTACTTGAGAAAACTTGTGAAATCAATCTGTGAAACTTTCATACGTGACTTTCTCTGCATTCAAGAATCTTTTCATATCATAAGGTGCTGTGATCAGAATTGTGGTCAATCAAAGAGAGAAAGTGCTGTTAGAATTTGTTCTGGACAATTAGAACTTCAAGTCCAGGTTTTTTCTTTCCATATTCTTTTGTAAAAGTTTGATTGTGCAGGTTGGATTGTAATCTGCACTTGGTACAGTAACTGGATTTGGTTACTGGGTGGTTTTCAAGATTCTGTCTTGTGGGTTTGCAAGATAGTTCTTGGGGTAGATTGGTGAGTATCTACTGGTTGTAATTTTCACTTGGAATTAGTGGAACTTGACAGGTTTGTCAAGAACTGGATGTAGCTCTGGATTAGAGTGAACCAGTATAAATTTGTGTGTTAAATTTCTTCTTTCATCTCTTTTATTTTCTGTCTATATACGTGCTGTGTTTAAACCAAATTACCTTTGCAAAGATTGAATAAAGATAACTCATTCTTCCAAAAGAAAGTAAGTTTTGCGAAAAAGTTTTAAAGTTCAATTCACCCCCCCTCTTGAACTCAACCATTAATTCTTTCACAGAATACTTTTCAATCGATTAAAACGATATTTCAATCGATTGATTTTATTTAAAACTTCATTCAATCGATTAATTCGTGTTTTCAATGGATTGAAGTAGCTTAGAAAAAAATGATAGCTCTCTGTTTCAACAGATTAAAAAACATTTCAACAGATTGAAATCCTATGAACTCTTAGACTGAAAAAATGGTCTCTCTGTTTCAACAGATTAAAAAAAATTTCAACAGATTGAAAATGCGAAACCTTTAATATTTGAAAAAATCATTAAGAACATTTTTAACCTGTTGATTCTGCGATTCAACCAATTGATATTTTGACTACAAATCCACACTTCTTATGTTAAGTGATTTTAACAGATTGAAAACTCTTTTTCAACAGATTGAAAAACTTAGTTTGTTCTTTTAATGCTTAAAGGTTAGTTTTTCATGCAGAAAAATGAGTTCAATGAGATGCATCATTTCAAGGCGCTTATCACAAGATCTATTGGCCTATCAAGAGATTAAGTTTTAAACTCCTAACCTATTCATCTACACACCCACAAACTAAACTATATCAACTCAATATGTCTTCATCAAATCCAACAAGTGCTTCAGATTGGTCCCTAATGATCAAGGAGGAGGTACAAAGGCAACTGGACGCCAATTTCTTGGTAATTTCTAAATACCCAGAATGGTTGGCCAATATAGTACCCGTCATCAAGAAGACTAGGAAGGTCAGGGTATGTGTGGATTATAGGGACCTCAATCGAGCAAGTCCAAAAGATGACTTTCCCCTACCACATATAGACACGCTGGTAGACCATACCGCTACCAACACACTTTACTCCTTCATGGACGGGTACACGGGGTATAACCAGATTAAGCTAGCCATCGAGGACAGAGAAAAAATCTCATTTATCACACCATGGGGCACCTTTTGCTACATGCCCTTTGGACGTAAAAATGCAGGGGCTACCTATCAAAGGGCTATGGTCACACTGTTCCATGACATGATCCACAAGAAAATAGAGGTATATGTGGATGACATGATTGCCAAGTCTAGAAATGAGATGGACCATATTCAATATCTTAAGAAGCTTTTTGACCGACTTCGGAAGTGTCAGCTTAAATTAAACCCGGCAAAATGTACTTTCGGAGTACGTTCAGGAAAACTATTGGGGTTCATTGTCAGCCAAAGAGGAATCGAAGTGGATCCTGACAAAACCAAGACAATTTTGGAAATGCCTCCACCAAGCACAGAAAAGGAGGTCAGAGGTTTTCTAGGCCGGGTCAACTACATTGTTCGTTTCATCGCGCAGTTAATGGATAAATGCATACCCATCTTTAAACTGTTGCGCAAAAATCAACCAACGGTGTGGAATGAAGAATGCCAACAAGCATTCGATAAAATCAAAATATGTTTAACCAATCCGCCAGTATTGGTACCACCCGTTGAAGGGAGACCCCTGATCCTATACTTGTCAATACTCGAGGAGTCCATGGGATGTGTACTCGGTCAACAAGATGAAACCGGGAAGAAAGAACGAGCCATCTATTATCTCAGCAAGAAATTCCTAGACTATGAAACCCGTTATACACCATTCGAAAATACTTGTTGCGCATTGGTGTGGGTTACTCAGCGTCTCCGTCAATATATGGCTCGGCATACAACATGGTTGGTCTCCAAAATGGACCCAATCAAGTACCTCTTCGAGAAGCCCATTTTAACTGGAAGAATAGCTAGGTGGCAGGTTCTCCTCTCAGAATTTGATATCATTCATGTCACCCAGAAAGCTATTAAAGGAAGCCCCCTAGCGGATTATCTAGCCCATGGATCAACAGACGAATACTAGTCCTTACAAGATGACTTTCTCGATGAGCATATCATGCACATCGAACACGAAGAGACCAAAGAAGAGGCATGGACCATGTTCTTCGATGGGGCCTCAAACATGCTTGGACACGGGATAGGAGCTATTTTGATATCCCCCGAAAAGAAACACATTCCTGTAATGGCCAGGCTTAATTTTGACTGTACCAACAACATGGCCGAATACGAAGCATGTGCGCTAGGAATCCAAGCGGCTTTAGATCATGGGGTTACTAAGCTCAAAGTCTTTGGTGATTCATCCCTTGTCATCTATCAACTCAAAGGTGAATGGGAACCCGCAACTCAAAACTAATCCCATATCTAGAGCATATCCAAGACTTAGTTTCAAAAATGGAAAGTGTCACCTTCCAGTATATCCCCCAGGAAGACAATCAATGTGCTGATGCCCTCGCCACTCTATCATCCATGTTTGCCATAGATCAAGAACATGAGATGCCAATCATCCAAGTTAAGCTGCATGACAAACAAGCATTTTGCATGGCAATAAATAGCGAGCGCGACCAAAACCCCTGGTATCATGACATCAAACAATATCTCATGAGGGGCGAATATCCCGAAGGAATTAGCGACAATGATAAACGAACCATTCGTAAAAGGGTCGTAGGGTTCACGTTGATTGAAGGAACCCTCTACAAAAAGAGCCCCGATTCCACTCTCTTAAGGTGTGTGGACCAAGAAGAAGCCCGAACCTTGATAAAAGAAATCCACAAAGGGGCTTTTGGGACTCACGCGCCTGGGCATGTCATGGCCAAGAAGATTTTAAGGGCAGGATACTTTTGGTCCACAATGGAAACTGATTGTCACCAGTATGCCAAAAAGTGCCACAAATGCCAAATTTATGCTGACAATATCCATGTACCGCCCGCACCACTCAGTACCCTGGCTACACCATGGCCATTCTCTATGTGGGGTATGGACGTCATTGGACCCATAGAGCCTAAAGCCTCCAATGGTCATCGTTTTATCTTGGTGGCCATTGACTACTTCACCAAATGGGTTGAGGCAGCGTCATATGCGCATGTGACCCGGAAAGTGGTGACCACCTTCATCAAGAAAAATATTATATGTCGGTACGGCATCCCTCATAAGCTCATCACTGATAATGGGACCAATCTCAATAACAAAATGATGGAGGAATTGTGTCAAGACTTCAAAATCCAATACCACAATTCTTCTCCGTACCGACCAAAAATGAACGGTGCAGTAGAAGCAGCCAATAAGAATATTAAGAAAATCATCCAGAAGATGGTAGTAACCTACAAAGATTGGCATGAAATGCTTCCCTTCGCCTTACACGGTTACCGAACATCAGTACGAACCTCCACCGGGGCCACCCCGTTTTCCCTCGTATATGGAATGGAGGTCGTACTACCAATAGAGGTCGAAATACCCTCCCTGCGAGTCGTCATGGAAGCAAAATTAACAGAGGCCGAATGGGTCCAAAGCCGTTATGATCAGCTAAACCTAATCGAAGAAAAGCGGCTAGACACCATATGTCGGGGGCAGGTTTACCAAAAGAAGATTAAGAGAGCCTACGACAAGAAGGTCAATCCCCACACTTTCCAAGAAGGGGATCTAGTGATAAAGAAATTGCTTCCAGCCCAGAAAGACAAAATCGGGAAATGGACAGCAAAGTACGAAGGACCCTTTGTGGTCAAGCGAGCCTTCTCAGGAGGAGCCCTCATCCTCACTAACATGGACGGAGAAGAGCTTCGATATCCCATCAACTCAGATGCAGTAAAGAAATACTACGCCTAAAGGCATTGCTCATGACCCGTCAGGATGAAAACTCGCAAAGAGCACCCTGGGCAAAAAATAGGGTCCACATTCCTCGCTAGGATACGTCCTAGGCAAAAATTAGAGGTCAAAAAAAAAAACAAAAAAAACAAAAAGAAGAAGAAGAGAGAGCAATGATTACCTTAGCCGAAAACCGCAAAGGCGACTAAGGTAATACCTTCACAAAAGCCGACTGACTACACATGATCTTCACTCCGAGCTCGAGCATCTCAACTGAAGCGACCAGGAAAAACAGAGAAACAGAGATCACAGGCATGATTGTGGTACCCTTATACAGTTTAGCCAACCTTGGCCAACCCTGCTTATAAATTCCTTTGTATATCCTCCTGTACAAACAGATCATTTGTTTATATCAATAAAAATTGTCTTCGCTTCTCTTTACCTACTTGTGTGAGTGCCTCTGTATTAACGAAACATAAGTATAAAACAAGCAATTCGAGAAAGCATAAAAACAAGACGAACAGCACCAACCAGGGCCGTCCCAAGAAAAAAGTACAGGGTAGCTTGTTAGATCGAAAACCCGCAAAGGGCGGTCTAGACAAAAGATAAGGCTTTCATAAAAAGAAAAAAAAAGCCCACCAAAATATCTTAGGCAAAAATTAAAACCCGCTAGATCAAAAACCCGCAAAGGGCGGTCTAGGCAAAAGATAGGGTTAAAACAAAAAGTGTAAAAGAATAGTCATGAGAGAACAAAAAAAGAAGAAAGTACCGGTCACTTTCTAGATGCCCTCAACTAAAATAAATCGCATCACACAACATTCACACACAAGTAGTCGCACAAATAGGACTTTGTCAGAATCAAAACAAACAAATACACTTCAGAACCAAAAAAGACATTCATGTCAGAAGTTCATCTTCATGCTTGCATAGAGCTACCCCGGTAAGACCTTGTCAATCATGTACCCAACTGACAAAGTTTCGACGACCAAGTGAGAGTCGAACAACAAACAAAGATTGTCCTACCAGCCAGCAAGAGTCGGATGATCACCACAAAAGGACCAAAAACAAAGAATCCCCAGCGGACAAGCAAGCTGGACGAACACCAACAAAATCCCCGGCGCAGACCGGACGACAACATCTCCAAAGAAGACCAACAAAAAGTACATCTCAACACTCGGCGCATGGGCCACCTGAACAGTAAGCCGTCACTACCACCAGTCCTACGTAGTGGACTGTACCAGCCTGATAGGGGGTTTATACCTATCAACTTGCGCACGCGGTGCGCCTGATCTGCGCTCGAGCCGGATCAGTAAGTCGCAACTACCAGCCTGATGGGGGGTTCATACCCATCCAGTTCGACACACAGCGGACTGCAACTACCAGCCTGATGGGGGGTTATACCCATCAACCGAAGGATCGGCTACCGTCAGAAGGAGTATCCTGAGGTTCTACCACGTGTCCACCGAAGGGATGGCTACCGTCAGAAGGAGTATCCCGGAAGTGCACAAACACAAGTTTTCCCCAGAAGATCAACTGCCACAAGACGGAACATCCGAAGGGTAACCGGGCAAGAGGGTCAACTCCTTTACCTTCCTATCGATCTATCTGGCACAACATGCCAAACAACTGATTAGTCAGGTAAAGGGGGGGCAGCTGTAGACCCCAAATCTTGTCCGGTCTCACAATAAAGATCAGAATACCTCCTTTTCGAAGATGGACGAAGCCTAAGAAGCCACTAGGAGAGACTATTAGGCCCCATACTAGGATAGGAGGGATTTTTGGCACAAAAATAAGGATTTTCGCCTTTTGGGGTCGAGACCGTCGTCTCAGATTCGACACCGTCGTCTCGCCTTGCACAAGTGGCGAGACCGCCGTCTCGTTTGACGAGACAGCCGTCTCGACCCTGTCAGGCGTGAATCCCTATAAATAGGGTCTCCATCTCCCTCATTTCACACACCTTTCTCACTCTCTCTCTAGTCGCATCAATAGTTTCTCTCTCTAGAATCCCTCCGATGCATTTCCGGAGCTTCTGAGTGTCTTTAGAGTTTTTTTAGAGCGTTTCGAGAGGTTTCCGACGCCGTGTAGAGTGAAGGGCTGCCGCAAAACACCCTATTTTTAAAGAATTAATAGAAAAGCTAGCCTCGTAGGTTCCTACTTTCTCTCTCTATCTTTTACCGCATTATTTAAATTATGCAATAGACATTAGGGCCATGTAGTCATAATCTTAAAATTCCGCAAAATAAAAGGGTAAAAACGTATTTTTCCAGTTTATTTATCAACAGAATAGTTGGCCTATCATAGGGAACCCAAAAGGGGCGTCGTAAAAGGAACTAACACTTCCTTTACGCGTAACTAACTCTCTTACCCAACTTTGGTTCTAACGACCAAAGTTGGTTTTTCGAAAACCAACGCCTTTTAAACTCCTTTTCCGATGTTTCCGGTAAAAACATCGGTGGCGACTCTAGAAACCCTCAAAAACTAGCTCTTGGATTAGCCCGGTTATCGGACAATCCAAGAGCACCCTTTCGAAAACCTCGGCCTTAGGTTCAACCCGGTTATTGGACAACCTAAAGGCGTTGTAACCACCAATAAAAAAATGCGAAAATCAAGAGAGTCGGAAACCATCGCGTTGCTCCGACCGCCCTCGTTTTGACGGCGGCGACACCACTAATTGTTTTTGGCAACCCAAAACAAAATCCATGGATAAATCAATTCAAGGATACTCTAGAATTGAAAATGGAGTATACAATCCATGAGACTTTACTCTTGACTTTGCCTTTTTACAAATAATACAATGTTCACAAAATTTATGCACATTCTTTTTCAAATGAAACTAATAAAAATGTTCTTGTAATGTTTAAGAGTCTTTTGAACCCCAAAATGTCCCATTAAACCTCCTTCATGTGCTTCACTTGCAAGCAATTTTCTTGTAGAACATTTAGGCACACATAATTTGTTCTTTTTGAAAAGAAAATCTTTATGTCTAAAGAAATCATTTTCTGAAATTTTTTCGTAATTTTTAAAAATTTCATCAAAAGTTTTATCACTTTCATATATGTTTTTCAAACATTCAAGACCAATAATTTTTTTTTCAAGTATAGAAAGCAAAACATGACGTCGAGAAAGAGTATCAACTACAATGTTACCTTCTCCCCTTTTATGTTTGATAAGATAGGGAATTGCTCTAGAAATTTCACCCACTTGATATGCCTTTTATCCAGTTTACCTTGTCCCTTGAGATAATTGAGGGACTCATGGTCACTATGAATGACAAATTTCTTGGGATAAAGATAATGTAGCCATGTTTTCAAAACCCTCACTAAGGCACTCCTTATCATAAGTTGAATAGTTAAGGGTAAGACCATTTAACTTTTCACTAAAATAAGCAATTAACCCTCTTGCAACAACACAACCTCAATCCCAACATTTGAAGCATCACACTCAATTTTAAAATATTTTTGAAAGTTTGGTAAAGTAAGTATGGGGGCATTAGTTAGCTTTTGCTTAAGAACATTGAAACATTCTTCTTGTTTTTCTCTCAATTTGAAACCTACAATTTTCTTGAGCACTTCATTGAGAGGTGCTGCCAATGTGCTAAAATCCTTCACAAATTTCCTATAGAAACTTGCTAAGCCATGAAAACTTCTCATTCTTGAATAGCCTTAACCTTTTCCTCATCACTTATATTCGTTTTGAACTCACAAAAAAAAAAAACACATGGTTAGTACAAAAGATGTTTTTTTAAAGATTGACATACAATGGTTCTTCTCTTAGCACACACAAAACAGATTTTAAATGATCAACATGCAATTCAAGTAAAGTGTTATAGATAATAATATTATCAAAATACACCATAACAAATTTTTCTATAAATTCTTTCAATACATGGTTCATTAATCTCATGAAAGTGCTAGGAGCATTAGTTAAGTCAAAAGGTATAACCAACCATTCATATAAACCACATTTTGTTTTGAAAATGATTTTTCATTCATCCCCTTCTCTAATCCTAATTTGGAAGCGGTTTTCCATTCATGTTATCTTTTACCCAACCTTTACTAATGAGTTCATCCACTTATTTTTTAATCTCTTTCGTTTTTTTTCTAGATTACTTCTATAGGCTAGCTTATTGGGAAATGAAGTGATATGGTCCTGTAAATACGTGAATGCCCAAACACAAGTAGAATAGCAATTTCCTTTGTTATTAATATATTGAAGTGCGAACAATAAGGGAAAAAGTATAAAGTAGAGAAGAAAATTAATCCAAAGTCAGAGACGTTGGCCAGAGGAGGAAGAGAATGACAGAATGGAAAAGGAAACAGACAAAATTCATCAAACCCCTCATTCCCATGCACCAATCATTATATGCTCTTTTCCTCCTCAAATGCCCTAAACTTCCATGTTTTGTATTTCTCTCTCTTGTTGTGCCTCAATTTTGTTACCTCGTCTTTCGGATCATTAGCCATGTGTTATGGCCCCTCCACACCGATAACAAGGCCTCCTCCATTAAAATTGACCTTGCCCCTCAAGGTCAAATTAAGGAAATTGAGATTTCAGTTGGACTATAGATTCCCAAGTGTTGTCAGACGCATCCATATTGGACCATTGCATGAGGACTTATCAATCCAGCGTCCCTGTTATTAAATATGATGAGAATCTAAAATAGTCGTTGGAACGGTGGAGGAGGCATCAACTGTTGTTAATGGAAGGGCAAATACTGTTGGTGATTTGTACCAATGCATCTCTTCCAAAGTGACACATGAAAAACAAAATGAATGCAGGATGAAGGGGGAAGCAGGAGGCGGTAAGCAACTACCAATCCGTTCAATCACAAGAAAAAGACCTACAATAACGAAGCCCAAGTTTCTGGTGATGGTGTTCACGCAACGTAACTTGGCGATATGGTTGGAGCTTGACGTAAACCATGTCACCTGACTGAAATTCAACATGTGTGCGCTTGCGATCGACAATCTACTTCATACGATTTTTTCCCCTTACAAGATTGGTTTTAAGGGTTGACAACACCACATCACATTGTTGTAGGAGCTACTCCACGTCAGCTGGAACGATGGTTGTAGCATCCCGACATAGCACAAGAGGATGTCACCTGTACCCGTTCTGGAAGCATTAGTTTCCAACTTGAAGATTATGGAAAAATCAGGCAGAACGAGAACTAGAGCCTTGGTGATAACCACTTTTAAGTCCTGGAAGGCAAAGTGACCCCTTTCCGACCAAACAAAAGCATCTTATTTTAAAAGATCATGTAAGGGAGAGGCCAAGACGACATATCCTCTCACGAACCGATGATACTAGCTGGTCAGACCCAAAACCCCACGAAGTTGTTTGAGATTAAAAGGAACAAGCCATTGAAGCACTATAACAACTTTATTAGGATTCATAGAAACTCCTTGAGAAGAAACCATGTGAACCAAGTATGCTATCTATTGTGTACCAAATGCACATTATGCTAATTTAACATATAAACGATGTTCCTGCAATATAGACAACACTTTTTCCAAATGCAACAAGTGGTCAGATTTGGAAGCACTATATATCAAAATGTCATCAAAGAAAACTAAGACAAATTGTAATAGAAAAGTCTAAAAAATGTGATTCATCAATGCTTGAAAGGAAGTCGATTGGTCAACCCAAACGGCATTACCAACCATTCGTAATGGCTTTGGTGGATGCGGAAGGCTATCTTATAGCAATCAACTGGCTTCACCAACAACTGGTGGTAACCAAAACGGAGATCCAATTTAGAGAAAAATTGGGCACCATGCAATTTGTCCAAGAGTTCGTCGACGGTGGGAGTAGGAAAGCAATCCTTGATTGTTATTGCATTGAGAGACCTATGGTCAGTGCAAAATCGCCATAAATCATCTTTCTTGTTCACCAGAATAACAGAAAATGGACTAATGCTGGGTGAAATCAAGCAATCTTGCAACAGTTCTTGAACAATTTTCTCAATCTCAGTTTTATAACTGAATTGATACTGGTAAGGATGTACCTTAACCGGAGTTGTACCTGATATGAGAGGGATGGCATGATCATGACTCTGAACTGGTGGTAACCCCTGAGGTTTGCCAAAAACAAAAGCAAATATTTGAAGAACACCCAATAAGTTCGCAGGAAGAAGTGGACATAATGAGATAAAGAATTCCTCTGAAGTCACATTAGTTTGTTGAGAATGTAGGGTGAACATCTCTGAAATTACATTTGTATGCTGCAATCGACGCAAATGATGGAATTGGACCTGAGTGGCAGAAGGACGCACCTTCGAATCACCCTTGAGGGTCACAAAAGAAGGACCATCATAAAATTTCATTGTCAATTAGTTGTAATCCGCAACGTGTGGCCCCAATGTTGCCAACCAAGATTTACCAAGGTGATTTCTGCACCAAAAACCGGTAAGCTAGGTTGAGAGGTGAATTGTGTGGCCTTGGATGGTAAGGGGAATTTCACGCACACAACCTTCACACGTTAATAGTGGTCGTTGCTGACCAAAACCTTAAACTTTGGTGCCTGTTCCACCGGAAGTTCCAGAAACTTAGCAAGCCTAGGTTGAATAAAATTATCAGATGAGCCACTATCCAAAAGGACCTTGATAGCATGACCTTGAACTAATCCTTGAAATTGTAGAGTCGAAAGCCCATTTCCCCTTTTGTATTATTTGTAGTTATGACAGATTCTTTCCTTTCTATTCTATGGGGTTTTTAATAAAAACAGATGAATTTGAGATGATATCATATGTTATTTCTTCTTACATTTCTATGATGTTCGAACCCTATATTGACTTTCACATTAATCCCTCAAATCCCTTCTTTCTTCCTTCTAATGAAAACCTTATTCTGGTTCTTGTCTCCACCATGATGGATGACAATAATTATCATGCCTGGACCCGCGCCATGAAACTTGCACTCAAATCCAAGAAGTGTAAGAAATTTTTAATAAAAATAGATGAATTTCATCACACGTATATGAACAATAAGAACTCCATCATTCATTTTCCTACCTCTCCTTTCTTCTTTATCTTCAGGACCTCTATTCTCCAACCGGTTCATTTGGAATGGACTAAGTCCTGCTCTCCTTTGTCATCACGATAAATAGTGAAAGTGATCCTAGCAAAGATCTCATTGATTTGATGAAGTCAAAAATAAAGTCAAGGGTCAACTCTGCAGCTGTCAAACAAGTCACTCAGAACAAAGGAGCTGAAGACTTAGTGTGTCTAAACAGAAAGCTTAGGTAAAACCACTTTACCTTTTCCACTGCATAAAGCTTCTTCACTCAATTTGCAAAATGCCTCAAAAATAGTTTTAAACAAATCAAACAAAAGCATTTTGACAAAGAACCTTCTTAACAATGGTTTTAACTCGATATAGTTTTTTAAAGAAACGTTTAAAACACTTAGAATGTTTATAGAAGTGTTTTCACAGACATTTTAATTGATACAAAAACCTTTTAATCGATTAAAAACCCTTTATGACCGATTGGAATTCGAATATAACAGGTCGAATGAAATATAATCGATCAGATTTTAAATATGAGCGATCAGATTGCTTTTAATCGATTAAAACACGTTTTAATCGATTAAAACCACTTTGAAGTCAGGATGATCGATCAGAATGAAATTATGACCGATCAGAGTTGGTTATGATCGATCGAATTGAATTATGACCGATCAGACTTATTTCAATCGATTAAAACGTATTTCAATCGATTAAAATAACTTAGAAAATATTTTCAATCGATTAAAACGAACTTTCAATCGATTAAAATGACTTGAAAATATATGTGCAGTTTTTCAATCGATTGAAACGACTTTATATCAGCTAAAATAACTTAGAAAGTTTTATAAGAAGGTTTTTAAACAAATCAATCGATTAATACGCGATTCAATCGATTGTTTTATACTTAGAAAATGTTTGTAAAACGTTTTAACTGATAAAAACGTGGTCGTATCAACTAAAACATTTTATGTTAAAGATCAAGAATGCATTAATGGGTTGAAAGGACTTTTAACAGATTGTAACGGCTATTTCAACAGATTAAAACAAACTTTCAACAGATTAATTAATGCAACAGATTTGAAAATACTCTTTTATAAACAGAATTGCTTGGAACTTATATCATATCAGTTTTTACACAATTCAAGCAATCAATACAAGCAACTATTAGCATTCTTTTCAAGAAAGATACACAACTATTTTGTGAAGTTATTTTTGAAATCTTTCTTGAGGCATATTGCATTCTGTGAAGAAGAAACTTACTGTGGATTAGAGTAATCCGGTTTGAGCTTTCTAAGTCTCTTCTTTTCAATTGCTTTTCATTACTTTGTATTGTGTTGTACCTGGAATTTGGGTACAAGTTTTTTCTGCAGTTGGTAGGTGGTTGTAGAAGTTTCCAAGAACTGGAATTTGGTTCTTGGTGGAGAGGTTAAGTGCGAGAACTGGAATTTGGTTCTTGTACTCGTTTGGTGCCTGGAATTTGGGCACTCGGTTTCTCTCGCAATCGGAATTTGGTTGTAGAGGTTTCCAAGAACTGGAATTTGGTTCTTGGTGGAAAGGTTAAAGTCGGAACTGGAAATTGGTTCCGGTGTTAGAGTAGGTGTAAGATTGTTGAGTCTCGTAAAACATCTATTCTAGTGGAACCCAACTGGAATTTGGCTGGAGTCTGGACGTAGCCCTGGTATTGGGTGAACCAAGTATAAAATTACCGGTGAAATCTTTCCTAACCTTTCTCTCTTTAATTTCAGCTTGTTGCGCTTGTATTGTTTAATTGCTTTGTGATTCGTGAATTGATTAGTAAACTTAATTTTCGAATTAGATAATCTGTTTATTGCGAAAAACTTTCAAAAATCAATTCACCCCCCTCTTGATTTAAAACTACTTTTCTAACAATTGGCATCGAAGCGAGGTGCTTGAAAGTTACTCAAGTCACTTCGATCCATGGCATTTTCTCGAGGGAGCGTACATTGATAGACCTCCACTGTTGTGTGGAACAGATTATCTATTCTGGAAAATAAGGATGAAAATCTTCATTGAATCTGTTAGTATAAATGCTTGGAATGTTATTGAACAGAAACTGATATTGCTAACGTAATTTAAGATGATTGTATTGCCAAAAATATCATCTCTTCCGCTCTTAACGAAATGATTTTTTTAGGATTGCACATTGTCAAACTGCCGCACAAATGTGGAAGATCCTTGAAAAGACCTATGAAGAAGCACCGAGAGATATGCTTCATGGTCAACTCAGAATCACCAAATACCAAGTGGCCATGTCAGGATAGAATGCCCAGAAAATTCTGATCAGGTAAGTTCTAGCTCCTCTTCAAATTTGGTCAATTATGATGCATTACAAGAAGCATTTAATGAAATGCATGAAGAGGCTAAGAAACTTCAAAAAGAAAATGATAGGCTGAAAGGGCTAAACAACTGGCTAGTAAATAAAGTTGATTCTCTGG